GGCGGCGCAGGTGGGTCTCCGGAACGGCGCACGCAGGTATGCAGGTGGACCAGGGACTGCGGGGGAGCGCGCGCCATTCCCGACTCACCGTCATACTTGGGGTCCGAACCCTCGGCGGGGAAGTCGATGTCCGGGGGCCCAGCGCCCGCCCCTGCCGCGTCGTCGTCCGCGTCGCGCTCCCCATCCCCGGAACCGACCCCCAGCATTGCCTGCCGCGCGCACGGGCGGTGGACTCGTTCACAACCTCCCCGGCCAGCGTCCCAAGTCACTGCTTCCCGATCCGGAAGTAGCCCATCAGCCGGCGGAAGTCCAAGCTGGCCGCCATTAGGCCACGCCCCCTAGGCTTCAGAAAGTAGAAAGACTGGCTGGTCTGGCGTGGGCGTGTCCCAGGTGGGCGTGTCCAACAGAGTCCTGGAGTTGATCCTGCCAGCTTGTGGGATCTTCTAGCTCTGGTGGGCTGTGACTTTGCCCTCCTCTTCTGCTCCAAGCTGAATCTGTGGGCGAGTCGCAAACGCTGCCATTTCATGCCAAAACCAGAGCATCCTAACAAGAATGGATTTGGAAAGTATTGTAGTAAGCTTACTTAGCTTACTTTGGTTACTTACTTTGAGCTACTTTCCCCCAAACTCAGGAAAACGAAGACCGAATTGTTTCTCTCAGGCAGATTCTAACTTGTAATGGATATAAGTGTAAAATGTGGGTAAAGCCTAAAACAACTAGAAAGGAGACTCAGAGAAGATAAAAGGAGATGCTGAGAGCTGGAGATGTGACTCAGCGGTTAATAGCTGAAAGCTCTTCCAGAGGACCTGAGTTCAGGTTCCCAGCACCCACATAGTGGCTGGCAACCCTTCTGAACTACAGTTCCGGGGGGATCCGACGCTCTCCTCTGGCCTCTAAAGACACTGCATACACAGGTGCACATGCAGGCAAAACACTCATACACATAAAATAAAAATAAAATAGGAAAAATTTTAAATATGCTGAAGGAGGCGGGCAAAAGGATGCATGTGATATAAGAACAGAAAAGAGACTGACGGGAAATCCAAGGGAAGGGGAGGGAAGCGGATGGAGAAGTTGAGAGGAGAGGAGAAGCAGTAAATTAAATTTTGTATGCCAAACTTAGTCAGATGCCTGGAGTCGAGGATGTAGGTCAATGGTGGAGTGCTTGCTCAGCATGCACAAGGTCCTGAGTTCAATTCCCAGCATTGAAAAAAAAAAAAGAAGAAGAAAAAATAAATCAGCTTCCTAAAGAGACTATAAACTATAACCTTTTGCATATACAGTGACTTTTTGTCTTTCTACCCCACCTCCACCCCCCAAAAGCAAAAGCATCACAGTTGTGGTAATACATTCCTGTAATCCTAGCACTTGAGCACTTCAGAGGTAGAAGGAAGATGAAGAGTTCATTCTCCACTATAAGGTGAGCTCACTATATGGACAATCTGAGTAACATGACACTCTGTCTGAACGACAAGGAGTTGGGTTGATGGCTTAATGGATAATCATGCTTGCTTCACAAGCATGAGGACCTAAGTTCAAATCTCCAGCACCCACTAAAAAGCTAGGTGTGGCCATGCACCCACCTCCTGCTGTGGGGGGGTGGAGACAGAAAAATCTTTGGGACTTGCTGGCTGCCAGCCTTCCAGGTTCAGTGAAAGACGATCCCTAGGAAATAAGAGCAAGGATACCCAGGGCCATGCTCAGGCCTCAGCACATATGTGAACCCATACCACACACATGCTTTTTTGTTGTTGTTGTTGTTGTTGTTGTTGTTGTTGTCTTTTTGAGCCAGGGTCTCCCTGTAGCCCCAGCTGGTCTGGAACTCACTATGTAAACCAGGCTGGCCTTGAACTCACAGAGATCTGCCAGCCTCTGCCTCCCAGGTGCTGGGACTAAAGGCATGTACTACCAAAACCAGACACACACATGCTTTTTAAAAGCAGCTGCAAGACCTGACTCAACTAGAGCTGAACTTATTTTGATCTATCATAAACCACAACAAAATGGGAAATGCCACCCAAATTCCAGAGTAAATCCAACATAAAGGAAATTCCTCTGGGTTTTGAGAGCAACTTTACAATTGAAGTGTTTTCAAACCTCAGAGCTTTTTCCAATCTTTAGACCAAACCACCCTAGCTGAAGCTCAGCTTCAAAATTCCACTCTGGGGCTGGGAAGAGGACTCAGTAGATAATGTGCTTGTTAGTCAGTTTTGTAAGGACCTGAGTTTAGATCTGCACCACCCATATAAAAACCAGGTATAGGGGTTGGAGAGATGGCTCAGCAGTTAAGAGCACTGGCTGGTCTTGCAGAAGATCCAGGTTCAATTCCCAGCACCCACATTGTGGCTAACAACCTTCCTGTAACTCCATAACTCCAGTTCCAGGGGATTTGACTCCCTCTTCTGACCTCCATGGGCATTGCATGATGCGGGTACACCTACCTACATGCAGGCAACACACTAATGCAAGAGCAGTCAGTGCTCTTAACCACTGCTGAGCAATCTCTCTGGGCCTGTAAATAAAATATTTTTAAAAGACCAAACTGGTATAGCTAGCTGCTTCTGTAACGTCAGTCCTGATGGAAGAAGTAGCAGAGACAGACAGATACTGAGCAACCAGGATACCATAAACAGTGAAGTCTAGGTTCAGTGAGAGACCCTGCTGCAACAACTAAGTTGGAGAGCACTGTTTGGCAACCAAAGCTGGGACATTCCCAGAAAGCAAAGAGGATGGAAATTAAAAAATTATTTTTGTGTGTCTATGTGCTATATCCATGTGTACAGGTTGATGTGTGTGCACCTGTGCATGTGCATGTGGAAACCATAGGTTAACATTGAATGAAAGCCCTTTTTATTTACATATGCATGCATGTATGTACATGTATCAGTGCCATGCAATGCCCTTGGGGACAAGAAGAGGGTGTCAGATCCCTTGGAACTGGAGTTTCAGATGGTTGTTAGCCATCATGTAGTTTCTGGGAACCAAACCTAGGTCCTCTGCAAGACTAGTCAGTGCTCTTATCAACTGAGGCATCTCAGTTAACATATATTCCATATAGAGTCATACTGGATGGGTTCAGTGTGATTCAGATTATTAAGGAAGCAATCCTCTAGCTATTTCATGAAGCTTGACCCATGTTTGGAAAGAGAACAGTCTTCTAGGATTTAACAAAATGTATCCACAGTTTTTAAAGAATGCTAATACTTGTGATTTAGTTACTTTTCGTTGCAGTAATAAAACACAATGACCAAAGAGAACTTATGGAAGAAAGAGTTTACTTGGGCTTACTGTTTCAGAGGGAGAGTCCATAATGTTGGATGAGGCATGGTGGCAGGAGCAGGAAGCTGAGTGATCACATCTTCAACCTGAAGCCCAAAGCAGAGAGACTCAACTGGAAGTGAAGGGAGACTGTCACAGAAAAATCAGAAACCAATAGTTGAGGTACTAGGACCTCAGAATCACCTTGAGGTTTGGTTGTGGCCCCCTTTCCTTCCTGACTGGAGGCCAGTGCCATTCTGGAATCACATCAAGACTTTGTATGCAGCCTCCTGTGGGGGATCAGCCCAAGCTGGTTTCCACCCATCTAACCTGAGGCCTGTTACCTGGTCTGGACGTCCATTCTGGGTCTCCATCTTGCTTCACCTGGTGAGAGGCTCTGGTCTGGGGTAATGCAGCTCTCTCTGGCCTCCTGGAAGGAGACCCCCAGAGAGGAAATTCTTCTGGGGTGTGCACTTCTCTGTTCCAGGGGCTGAGGGGGCTGCAGGGTCCAGGAGTGGAAGCCTCTATTACCAACGAGGGTATGGCAACTTGATCTCATTGGGGACCTCCAGAAATGTTATGGCAAAATCAGAGACCAACAGTCGGGGTCTGGTGAGGAGAGGAAGTTTAATTTGACAGTAGTGGGACTGACATACAAATCAAACGTGTTAGACCCCCTTGTTCAAGTTTTGGAGGGTTTTTATACTCATGTGAGGAATGTAAGCAAGAGGTACATAGCATAAACATAGTAATTAAGTAAGATAACATAGGGCTGCAAAGGTAACAGAAATGCAAAAACCTTGGACAACAAAGATTTCTATACTGGGTAAAGGTTACAGGAATGTGATAGCTTTGGAAAACAAAGACTTATAACCTGGATAACTGCAGGGGACAGGGAAGGATTCCAGTTCACTTCCCCATTCCAGAGTTTTTAATTACCATCACATTGCAAACACTTTTACTGTCTGATATTTGCTTCTATTTCTATAATAGTCCCTCCTCTTCATTGACATAATCCCTTATGTTATTTAAGAGGAACTTTAAGATATTTTGACTATGACCCAGGAGTTTGATGGCCTCTATTTGGGTTTTGATAAATTTAGTAAGTTTGTTATCCAAGATTTTAACAGAAAAGCCAATAGAACCATGACTACTGGTTCTGTGAGGCTATCCAGGGACCTGAAGTTTCCCAGGTATTTTTCTAGGACAACTCATTTTTATCTTTTCAGGTCTTTCTAGTAGTTGCCTTGCATTTTTTCTAACTATGTCGAATTGATTTGCATAAAAGCAGCACAAAGTTTTCTTTTCTGATGATTCTGGCATCTCTATTCTCAGGGATAAGTTTACTGACAGATCTAAGGAAATTTCCAGCTCCCAGTTCAGAAAGAAACTGTTCATTATCTTTTGGGATCTTTACTTTAAAACTGTCTAATTAATTTTTGGGGGGGGGGTCTTTTTGAGACAGCGTTTCCCTGTAGCCCCAGCTGGCCTGGAACTCACTATGTAGACCAGGCTGGCCTCGAACTCACAGAGATCCACCTGCCTCTGCCTCCCAAGTGCTGGGATTAAAGGCATGCACCACCATGCCTGGCTTTATTTAATTAATTTTTATATTTTTATCTTTATTGCCTTTTGGAGAGGTAACCCAGTTTTCCAATGGGGAAATGAGACACAGACAGCTCTGGCTTCTTCTATGCTGAACATAGATTCAGGGTGTGGCAACTGGGGTACCCCTTCATTGGGTCTATCTAAAAGACTCCCATATTGCATAACTTTTAACTGTAGGTAGAAAAGAAAGTCCTTGACCAGTGCCTGGGAGAGGTGAAGGAGAAATAAAGGCAATAATATTTAGCATTACAAGTTCTAGACAGGGAACCAGAAAAAAATCAGAACAGGGAAAATTTTAAATGTCCAAATAAAAGTCCATTATAATGTCTAACAAGGGCTTCCAGGAGCATCCATCTCTTCGGTTCCTCTTCATTTTTCTTTTGGTCTGTAGAACCCTGGGACCCTCTTCATTCACCCGCTACCCCCCAATCCCTCCAG